TTCAATAATTTAAATTCATTACAAATTTCGTGGCTAAAGGATATTTCTTTCCCCCGAAATGAAGCCAGTGTATTTATTCTGCTCGTCAGCCAATTGGACTCAGGAGAAATCCATTTTCATGCTAGGAGTTAAGGCTGTCATGCTTAAATCCTCCCGTGTAAACGGCTGTAAAGAAATGAATATTTACCGTATAATCAGCTAATTTCATGTTAAACCGGCTTCAATTTTTATAATTCACAACATATTAAAAATCCCTCGTTATCTCGTGTCTGATTTTTTGACAGCGAGCTTTAATTAGGACTGGCTATGCTAATGTCTAATAAATACGTTGACAATTTTAAAGGTTGCTTATCCAATTTATTATTTTTATTACCTTCAATTAATTAATAATTTAATTTTTTAACCTTATTATTATTTGTGTAGATTTTCAAAAATTCAGTTTTTGTTATAAATAATAAAGCTACATAATACGAAATTATTATGAATTAAAATGAAATAGTTGGCACACAGTGGTATGCACTCAAAAGGTTGCCTAATAATCCAAAAAATAAAAATGATCCAAAATGGAAAATATGAAGGAAAATATAAAAGAAAAAGGAAACGAAAATTACAAAAAATATTTTTTAAATAATAAATAACGTTGAAAAATATACAGAAGTTAAAAATACAAACAAAGTGAAGTTAACAAATAATTAAATTCACTAATTTCGTTGTCCGCTTGACCAATTAATATTACAATTAATTAAGGTTTTTTAGTCGAGATAAAATAGTCAATGGCACGAGCGGGATTCGAACCCATGATCTTCGGCTAGATACGCCGCTGCTTTACCACTTGAGCTATTGTGACCTCGATCCACTCGGACACTAACTTCCCATCTCAACCCCACCTTTTGAATTTTCCCTCCTTTTTGCCATTTTTCAAATGTCCCGCTCGTGCCATTGTCTTTTTATCTCGACTAAAAACCTTAATTAATTGTTAACAATTAATAGTTGTTTAAATCAACATGTTGTATTTATGTCTGTATGGTAAATTGCCACACGGTCAAACTTTCCCTGGAAAAATGAAAAACGGATAAAACAACGTTTTTGATTTTGCTTGCTGCTTGATCAGAATGGGACGAAGTTCTCTTTTATTTGATTATTACATCTCGTCGGCCGCATTGCTTTGCTTTGTTCGGACGTTCAATATTTTTGATACACGAAGAGCCTACTTACAAACGGTTAAAAATTTCTAGCTTAAGTTGACAGGTGAAAAGTAGAATATAAAATTTAAGATTGTAACCGTTTAGTCCCGCCTGTTATGATTGTTAGCCAAGAAGTTATTTTTATGCAAGACATCTTTTTCCTCAGATAAAAATCGTTGATGGGACATATCTAAACGCGCGATTTTCTCCATTCTGCCTGATGATGTCTCAATGGTTTGTTGAAAAAGAGACATACAAACCTTTTATTACATGTGTTTATTATTGTGTGAATAGTTGAGTGTGAAATATCAGCACGTCTAAAACGCGATCATTCGATTTGGGTGTTGTTAGTCTCGCTTGTTATGTGTGTTAGCAAAAAAGTACTCTAGTAATTATTCACTATTTTCCACTATGATTCAAAGGGTTAGATGCATGAAAAGCTAAAAAACAGTTTATTTTTATGACGAATTATTGTAGGTTAAATTGTGTTAAAATCATGAATCTAGACAGATTTTCTTTTCTATTAAATATTGAGTTGAACCCTGCTTTTTTCAAAATAATTTATGTTAAAAACATCTGAACATGCGATTTTTCCTTATTCTTCCTCATTTGTCCCATGATAAATTAAAAAAAAAACTATCTAATCCTGCATTTGGAAGTGAAATAGTAATGGAATCATTCGATTGGATGCACTTAGTCTCTCCTGTTAGGAGTGTTGGAAAGAAAGTCAATCTCATTTAATAAAGACAGATTTGGTTTTCAGACATAAAGTCTTATAAGATAAAGTGAGATTTTCACTACTGCAACTACTGTTTTTATTTACGTTGGGTTCGTTCTGCCTATATGGTCGTCAGGGATGTTCCTTTTAAATTTCTTTAAACACTGTTTTTCCATTTTTAAAAAGGTGTAGAAAAACGGCTCCAATCGGATGTACGAATCGGTCCGAGGGTAAAGAAATCCTATATTCGAAGATATGCAAGTGTGTGCACACGATTTCTTCGATTGCCGCTAAACAGGTGTCGATGACCCGGCTTTGTCAACCTTCCTCCCTAATTATTACTCAACAATGTCAAACGTCGAGTGGTCATCTGTTTAACAACAACACGGTGGCCGGGGGACAATGCCGTCCACAATGACGGCCAGCCAGCCCGGACAATGGGCCCACCGTGGGAACACACCGGCCGGGAAATTACTCAGCGGAATCCGTATATTTTGGTCAGGAAAAACACCCGAAGTTGGAAACTAGAAGAAGGGTTGAAAAAAGCACCGATTTATTAAACCAATGTATGCCTATTTACCGTTCATCTATAAATCTTTGATGTAGTCATGTTAGATTATTTGAAGTTTTTCGTCTACTGATAAAACAACAAAATTTTTCTAATTTATTAATGTTAAATAAGTCTCATAAATTTATTGATGATCCATACAAAAAATTGTGTCATCGAAGGTCATATTATTCACAGCTATAAATGAAAATTATATATATTAAATTATAAAAATAATTAAAATTATATATTAAACTTTTTTATTTAAATAGATTTAGTTATATTGAATTGGAGCTAAACATTTAAACCTGACAGAGAAAAATTTTCTTTGGCAATTTTTTAAAAATTATTTAATACCAAACCTTTTTCATTAAGTATTATACACTTTTTTAAATTTATGTGAAAAAGATTTAGCATACGTATTTCGGTATTTAAGATTGAACATTTTCCTGGAAAGGGGAAACGTAACTTTACTAGTTTTTAGTTATTTCTAGTCAGACTTCACACAATAACCTATACAATTTCAAATTATGTTTATTAAAATGTTATATACTTTACTACGATCAACATATAAAACGTTTAGCGTTTTTAGGAAAGGATAAGCACGCTAAGGTTGAAACTTTTCCAGAGTGGAAACTAACATCATTTTGCTAATTTTTAGCAAGCCCTGCATTTTATAAAATCATTAATTTCGTTTCATGACATATTATAGATGGACTTTTATTAGTGCGTGAAAAATATTTGTGTTTTAGAAATGGTATGCACATTATGGCTTGGAACTAGTTCTAGGTGAAGAAAACCCACATTTTGCTAGTGTTTAATTAGTTTCTGTCATCTTTGATAAAATAATTATTTACAAAATCGTTAAATAACATATTTTACTGTGAATTATATGGAAAAGATTTGTAATATTTCGAAAAAGAAAAACAAATTATATTTGGATTTTACTTTTTTGCTAGTGGAGAAAACACCTCGTTTTGCTAACTAGTGCCTGTCAATTTTTATAGAATTATTTAAAAAAAATACGTTTTTCATGAAGTGCTATAAAGTTTACTGTGATTCATATCAAAAAGGTTTAGCATATTTAGGAAAGGATAAGTACGCTGAGGTTGAAAGTTTTAAGGGTGGAGATTAACATGATTTTGCTAGTTTTTAGCGTTTTTATAAAGTTATTAATTTTGTTCCATTATTATACATTTACTATGAAAAATATGAAAAACATTTATCATATTTTAGAAAAGATATGTTGTTTATAGTTGGAACTATTTCTAGGTGGTGAAAAGTCACATTTTGCTAGATTTAAATTTTGCAGTCTGCTTTTATAAATAATTATTTTAAAAACGTATTAAATATCGTATATTTTACTGTGAAGTGTGTTTTAATATTTTGAAAAGGAAACACAGATTAGGATTTGGATTTTTGATAGTTTTTTTACTGTATTTTATAAATGTATTTTTTTAACAATGTTTTTCATTACTTTTTATTATTTTACTTTGATCTAAGTAGTAGAAACTTAGGAGGGTTTCAGAAAAGAAAAGCACACTACCTTTTTTTTTTTGAGGTCAGGTGCCGGTGTTTTTGAAAAAAAGCCCATTTGTAAGTATGTCGAGTTCGAATGCAGGGCCGCTGGATTCGAACCCGGGACCTTTACCTTACAGTGATGAGCGCCGTGTCAAAGACTAAACCTTGCGGCCACCTTAGATTGTTATTGTCAATTGCTATATGTATATGTTTTTTAAATAACCTTTTTATTACATAATATATATTTTACTTTGTCTTAATAATTTCATTAAGTATTAGTTTATCTTTCTTGTGAGTTGAAAAGATTAGGCATGTTTTTGAAAGAAAAGCAAATTATAAGCTGTAATTAATAAAAGTCAATAGAAAAACGTTTTCTGGTGGAAACATTTTTTTCTTTATGTTATTTTGTAATTAATTGTTTTAGGTTAGGGAGAAAAATTTAATTTTGGCCGCTTTATCAAGTTCCTGTCCATTTTTATAGAAAGATTGACAACAATTTTCATTGTCTATATGTCTATAATTTTCTAAGGTTTAGCAAGGTTTTTAGAAGGTTCAGCGCATTTCGGAAAAGAAAAGCAGAATATTACTGCAGCTTTTCCTAACAGGAAAAAAACGACATTTTGGAATTTTTCAGTTAGTTCCTGTCAGTTTTAATACTATTATTTTTAAAAAATTTTCCTCTGTACGCATTATATATGTTCCGATGATCTATGTTGAAAAACTTTAGGATATGTTGGAAAGAAAAGCACGCTAAAGTTGAAACTTTTCCTGATCAGAACAAAACCACATGTTAGTAGATGTGTTCTTCTTCTTAACAGTTTTTATAAAATTATGTAAAATGCCTGAAAACCAAATTGTTTTTACGCATTGTATATTTTACCGTGATCTATGTAGGAAAAGTTTAGAACGTTTTAGGAAGGATTATAGCTGTAACTCTTCCTAGGTGGAAAAAATCTCATTTTGCTTATTATTACCTATATTTTGTTGTCGATCCTTTTGGTCATTCTATCCTCTTTGTTTTGTCTGACAGACACCGGAAATGACAACTACAAGCACATCACGCAGAACCCAAGAGGAAATCTCACACCATATTAAAATAATCAGTAAACCCTGATACATTGTAGTAAATCAAATAGAACTTCTATAAGATAAAAATGTAATTGATAGAAAAAAAGAAATAATTACCACAAATATGTATATATCTAGTATAAAAAAATATTCGTTCACTTTATGCTATGGTCTTGTAAAACGTTAACAAAAATAAAAGTATATTCGTCAGTTATACTCTCATTCTGTGATGCATACCACAAATTTGTTGTTATATTGTATATAAGAAGTTATACATTTTTTTAGGCGATGTAACTTTTCAATATTTTTGTAGGTTTTATTTTGGGATTGATCTTACCATTCTTATATTGTTTTAATAAATTGCATTCTACCTCATTTTGTATGGTTATTTGAATGTACAAATGACTGAATTTGTTTTATTTTTGTACATATAGAATATCAGTTTTTTTAGTGTATTTTATGAAATATTAAGAAAATCATAGTTCGTTGATCTTCCAATTTGCCCCTCAGAAGATCAGGCCAGCTTTACCTGGCAAAACGGTAGCCAAACCATTTTTAAAAATCTCTTTCTCTCTCGCGAGCTGATCAAACGAAAACCGCAAAACACGCCCTATTTAAATGAAAAGAGTGTAGGGCAACGGTGTTTATTCCGAGCGAGTAAAGAGGCCCCAGCATGAAATCCCGATTGGGTTTCGGACGAGCCGACCAAGTTGAGAGAGGGCCAAAATCTTCAAAGTTCTACGGAGTCACGGATTAGCCGATTTAAACACTCGTTTTTATGTTAAATCGGTTAAATCAAGACAGTAATACGCTATTAGTCTAAAACTCCTTTTTTACTTTCTAAGCATTTATGATCTCAACTTTCAAACCCTCTCAGAAGCGTTTCTATTTCTACAATTGTAATGTTTAATTCTAACTATTAAAGTATATTTATAAAAAATCTTTTTATTTATAAAAAAATCAAAACACGACGAAATTAACAACATAACGTAACATGTAACTGTAGAACATGATCAAACATGACTAGTACATTGTACAACCTTCTTTAATTTTTCTATGAAAATATCTTCTTCATCGGGACTATGCAATTATAATTAATAATTTAAAAGGTTATCAAACGTTAACAACTATTTATTATTTTGAATTTACGGTTTTAACTAAAGTAAAAGTGAAAATAGGAAATCTGCAGATCCAGATCAAATATGACCAGTGCATTAAACAACGAGCACAATGTGAGCTTTCTAGAAATATATCTTCCATCATCAGGGCTGAGAAACTGTAATTACCTATAGCTTATATTGTAAAGAATTATCAATTTTTCAATTTCAATTTTGAATTTATGGTTTCAAGTATAGATCATACTTCATACTAGATCAAACATGACCAGTACATTTTCCAACTTTCATCAAGCCTTCTAAATATACAGCGTGTCCTGTTTAGAGATAGCCCGGCTGAATTTCTCTTGAACCACTGAGGCCATAAAAAAAATACCTGTTTGATATTTGTATTCTAATTTCAAATTTTTATCTTTTTTGGAGAATTGGAAATTTTGAAGTTGAACGGGACCTGAAGTACCTGAAGGTAAAAAGTTGAAACTAGACTAAAAAAATATTAAACACGTATTTTTTGTTTTTTTGTTAGCGACATTGGTCCAAGCGAAATTCAGCCGGGCCCTCTAAAAAGAATATCCTCTATATATATATTTCCAATATCTACTAGTTGATTAGTTACTATAATTTCATTTGTATTAATTATTTAAAATACTACGAGTAATGTGTTATTAAAAAAGTTTGAATAGAATACATATCAAAAATGCATTTCTTTTTCTAAATATTTGAATTTAAATTTGCAGTAAAAACTAAGATTTTCTATTGGAGTCTGTGGAATGTAACAGCCATCTGCTTTTCTATTCCAAAATACGCTAAATTTCTCTAAAAAACCATTATACAATTTATGTGAAAATAAAAGATATAATAGATAGATATAAAGATATAATAAATAGATAACATTTTTTTTGTTAATATTTTTATAAATATGGACGGGAATTTGCTAGAAGAGGCCAAAATAAGGTTTTTCTGCGACTAAGAAATGTATGAACCTTAGTTGCTTTTCTTTTCAACCTAAGCTAAAATTTCCTAAAACTTATATCAAATTAAAATACATCATTGGAAATGGAAAATGTATTATGTATTAAATAACATTTTAAAATCTGACAGAAACTAAAAACGACAAAAATACGTTTTTTTGTCCGATCGGGAGAAGTCGCAACTTTAACGTACTTTTCTTTCCAAAATATGTTGTCTTTTCCACTTAAATCAAACTAAACTATATAATACTTAACAAAAATCTGTTTTTTGGGTGTTTTTTAAAAATAAATGTATAAAAGCTGACAGAAACTAACGGAAAATACGAGAAACTACGTTTTTCTCCTATTAGGAAAAGTTGCAACCATTTCCTTTCCGAAATGTACTAAACCTTCTTAAAAAAATTGGCTAAAACTTAGATTAAAATAAGAAAATATAATAGATAATGAAAGATTTTGTCAATCTTTTTATGAAAACGGACTTGCTAAACTGACCAAAATGCAGTATTTCTGTGACCAGGAAATTTAATTTAGCATAGTTTGTTTTCGAAAACATGCTAAACATTCCTAAAAAAATCCTTGCCAAAACTTTGATCAAAGTAAAATCCATCTTAGGTAATGAAAAATGTATTATTTTATACTTTATTTTTTAAAAGTTGACAGTAACTAGCCAAAAATTACACAAATGTGATTTTGGTCCGACCATGAAAAGTTTCAACTTTAGCGTGCTTTTCTTGTCAAAATGTAACATTTTTTCTGCTTAAATAAAGTAAAATACGTTCTTAATCTGCTTTTCCTCCCTGTGCACATAGATCATAGTAAAATAATTAAAATATATTTAAATGTAATTTAAAATTTAATTAATTTAAAATTTAAATGTATTTTCTTAAATGATTGTTTTCATTGATTACATTATTATTTATTATATTTGTATCCTATATGTTTTTAATTCGTATTATGGAAACGTATCCAAATATATAGGTTATTTTAGTACGGTGTGAGAGTGGTAATAGGTGATTAAACTTGTAGTATGATCGTTTTCGATCATTTTGGTCTGACTGCTGTAGTGTTCTTTCGGCTTCTCGCCATCTTCAGTGATGGGTTGGTGCGCTCTATTGAGTGTATGTTTGTCTGTATGTCCAACGTGTAGGAACTCCACTCTCACAAGCGTATTTTTCCAGACTCTGTCTGACTGACTGTTCAGAATTAATTGTACAAAAAATAATCGGAAACCATCAAATGGAATATGAAATAAAGTTGCTTGAATTGATTATTATCCTCCTAAATTTGTTTTTTTTTTCTTCTAATAATTATTTACATCTTGGACACCTACGCTTAGAGGTAGCGAAATGCGTCTGACGGACAAAAATTACGAAGCTAGTCAAACCGGAAAGACCGATTGGTTAATAATAATTATCGTTATTGCAATAGTATTTGTTTTCAATAAGATTTCTGAAAATTGTCATTTTATTACTTCTTTTTTACTTTTACCCCAGCCTGTGATGATTAACCGTTCTCAGTGGTAACTGGCGCCAACTGAAAATTGTTCTCTTTTGATACAAGGTTAAAAATGACACTAGATCCATTTGTTTTTCGGCCCTTTTCATCCGGTACCTTTTGAGAACGGCGCGGCACCTTTTGTGAACAATTAACCTTCTAAAAAGGAGCAGCTTCTCTTTCCGAGGGGAATTTGAGAACGGGTAGGTGCGAGGGTGGCTGCGGTAGCGGAACAAATCAAAGGTTGTTTTCACGAGGGGTGGCTTCAACGGCAACAATAGCCATTGTGATAATTAGTTGTTGTGAAAAACTGAGCCATTCCATTGTTCAACGCTTTTTACCTCCTCATCTCAAGAGTGGTGAAGGCAGGTGAGAAATTCCCTCACACGCCCTATCATCGCATCTTCCGTCGGCGTTTTAAAAAGGGAAGTAATTTAATAAAGAACCCCTCTCCATGCAGAACAATGGATGAGGGTAATGTGGAATCAGCAACCCAATGGAACGGAAGTATCAAAGGCTTTTTAGCCTTTTGGGGAAAAGTTGTTGTTTATTGTTTCTTGCATAAAATTGTTGTTGTTTATTGCATAATTATGTTTCTAATGAACTGTTTTCATTTTTTACAGCACATTACAACGACTTCCAATAAGGTCGCAAGTACCAGAGATATATTTGACGATAAAAATAAAACAAGAGTGCTTAAACTACACATTGACGGTTCTGGCTACCATGTTGCCTATTTGATTGACACTGCTGCTATTATCGCTCACTGTGATTGTACACGAGGATTTTGAGACCATTGTCTATTTAGTCGTCGAGCAGGGTTGCATGAAATTCTCCAAGATATCAGTCTATAGATTTTAATAAGTATTCATGGTGGTCTAGAGGGTTTTGTTGAACTAGCGGTAACGGCATTGGACTAAAAATTTAAGTCTATATTTCTGTTAACGATAATGTTTCACATAGTTCGATAGGTATGTAGATAGATAAAGCTTGTACGAATTAAACAAAGTAGGTATTTATACATAACCAGGTAAGGTCTCATATCAATTAGCTAAATCGTATAATCTTCTATTTTCATAAAAATTATAGAGAAAATTTTAGATAGATATATTAGGCATGATTGTGGAATTAATACAATGATACATCCCAATCAGCATGCCTACTTACCAGGAAAATCAGTGGAAACTGCCTTGCACTCACTAATAGGCAGGATCGAGAAATCATTATTTAATAATGAATGTACACTAGGTTGCTTCTTCGATATCCAAGGGGCGTTTAATAATGCTAATACTTCTTGCATTACATCAGCATTAGATAATTACAATGTCGACCATCACCTTACTAGATGGGTGAAGACCTACTTGGAGGGAAGGATGGTCAATATGTGCTTAGGTGGTAGCACTCTCAGAATTAATGTCAAAGCAGGCTGTCCACAGGGAGGCTGTTTGTCACCTCTTTTATGGCTAATTACAGTAAACAGCTTAATAGA